AGAAAGAAAGGAAGGAAGATGAGGAAGGAAAGTAGAAGAAGGGAGGGAGGGAGGGAGGAAGGGAAAGAGAAAAAAGAAATTAAAGAAAGATATGAAGAAATAACAAGTGCTGGCAAGGATGTGGAAAAATTGGAACCCTTGTATACTGTTGATGGGAATGTAAAATGGTGCAGCCACTGTGGAAAATAGTATGACAGTTCCTCAAAAAATTAAATGTAGAATTATCATATGACCTGGCAATTTCACTTCTGGGCATACATCCAAGAGAAATTGAAAGGAGTGTCTTGAAGAGGTATTTATATGCACATGTTCATAGCAGCATTATTCACAAGAGCCAAACATGGAAGCAATGCAACTGTCCACTGACGAATGACTAGATAAACCAAGTATGGTATGCAATGGAATATTAGTCATCCTTAAAGGGGAGAAATTCTGGTACAAATTACAACACGGATGAACCTTGAGGACACTATTCTGAGTGAAATCACCCAGTCACACAGAGGCATATACTGTATGGTATCACTTATGAGTTACCTGGGATTGTCAAATTCATAGAGACAGGAGCTAGAATGGTGGTTGCCAGGAGTTGGGGAGGAACAAATGGGAAAATGGGAAGTAGATTTTTTTTTAGATATTTAATAAGTATAGAGTTTCTGTTTTGCAAAATAAAAAGCATTCTGGGCATTGGTTGTACCACAATGTGAATGTACTTAACACTATTGAGTGTACACTTAAAAATGGTTAAGACAGTAAATTTTATGTTACGTGTATTTGCTACAATTTATAAAAAACTGTGACCTTAGAAAGTCATGGATATGAGTCCTGGCTCTGCTACTTACTAGCTGTGTGGCCTTAGAGCAATGACACGACTCTACATCCCCTTTCTGTAAAATAGGAATAACAGTACTTTCTTTACAGAGTTATACTGATGAGTAAGTGAGATGATATGTATAAAATATCTAACTAGCATTTGTACTGGATGCATATTTAGCTCTTCTTTGACTGTCCTCTTTATGATATATTTTATTTTCCTTCAATGTCCAGTCTCTCAACCACTCCAACACCCATATCCCAACATACAGACACACACATGCACACACACACGCGGTATGAACACTTAAGGGCAATGATGGCATGGCATCTGGTTTACTTCATTTATCTTTGTATCCCCAGTGCCTGGTACATAGCAGGAGCTCATTAAATATCTGAAATGAACTGTAGCAAGAGGGTTTGACAACATAAACAAGGAAATCCTCTTGATATGAATATAGACAAACAGCAGAACAAACTGATCAAGTATTTTAAGACCAAAAAAAATGGTCACAGACCTGGATTAGGCTGTGTCCTTCCAAAAATGGGCATATAGAAGGGCAGCTTCAGGAGAACGAAGCTGAGTGGGCAGCCCATCCCCCCCAGGAGGGACTGACGGTGACAACAGTCAACCTTCGTTTCCAGGGCAGGCCTAGAAAGAGCGTGGTTTGTTATTGAACAATATTTAGTAATTCATTATTGGACGTTGATTGGACATTCATCATAGACTCATTTTTGTAGGGCTTCCATCCGACCGTTTGTTTTATTTTTTATTTATTTTTTAATTTTTTAATTTTTTTTTTTGAGATGGAGTTTCGCTCTTGTTACCCAGGCTGGGGTGCAATGGCGCGATCTCGGCTCACCACAACCTCCGCCTCCTGGGTTCAGGCAATTCTGCCTCAGCCTCCTGAGTAGCTGAGATTACAGGCACGCGCCACCATGCCCAGCTAATTTTTTGTATTTTTAGTAGAGATGGGGTTTCACCATGTTGACCAGGATGGTCTCGATCTCTTGACCTCGTGATCCACCCGCCTCGGCCTCCCAAAGTGCTGGGATTGCAGGCTTGCGCCACCGCGCCCGGCCCCATCCGACATTTCATTAAGAAAACATCACATTACAAAGCCTGGTTCTCAAGGTAAGTGTGCTTCCTGCCTGTCCTCTCCAGCCTGGGTCCTTATCTCTTCTGACCATCTTGCCCTCCTTTCCTCCTCCCCATTCTGGCTCCAGCTGGTGAGCTGTTTAACCCTGTAGTCCTGCAGGCTCACCCCTTGGCCTTCAGTTAGAATTACGACCACCGCACCCCATGTGGCTGGAGTTCCCCAGACGTCATGGTTCCAGGACCTGTGCTTTTAGTCCTCTTCATGGACCCTAAGTGAAACTGGAGGACCTGTGGTCATGCATGTGGACTTCATCTTGCTAAGAAGGTCTCCTTTGAGAACTATATCTCTAATGTGTCTCTATTTTTTTCACTTTTCCCCATTTTTTCTCATAACTTAGCTCTCCAACTGATTTTACCTACAAGGCCCCAGGCTCTAGCTCATATAAAACAACAACAACAAAAACACATTGACTTGCTATAATTAAATCCAGGGCTGACCTTAGAAGACATCATTTTCTTCCTTAACAATAACATTCAAATTACTGAAGACTCCAAGTTTATATTTAAAGCCAAATGTCTGCATCCAGGATATCCTCAGATCCTCTAGCTTGTGGGATCACCCTTCTGTTAATAGTTACATTTAAATGACTCGAAACCTTTTCTCACTTATGATGGGAAACAACCCAACACCTTCTCCCCACTAAGTATCTTTAGAGAGTCTCGATCGATCGAGGACTCTCCCAGTGAGATTCTGGGAGATCTCAGGGATAATATGTTTTCTTTTGTCATCTCTAGCTCCAATATCTCGTTTCCACTAAAGCATATGCATCTCGGTGGAAACGAGATATTGGAGCTAGAGATACTGGCGCTTTGGATTCTCTCCATCCTGTGCTGACACAACCATGATGCAGCCCCTTAACCTGTGGGGTCTGCACTAACACTGGGAGTCAGTGCTAGCATTGAATCAAATTGTTGGACATCCATCTGGGGTTGGGGGATCAGACAGAAACCCTTCTGTGATGGGAATTGCTCTAATGGTGCCTGTGCATGTATGTGTGTTTGGAAGATCTCCAACCATGTAGGTCTTGGTGACAGTCAGACTCCTGCCTCATGGGCCATGTTGCAGTTGAGGTGTGCACACAGTGATCCAAACTCAGCTAACCAGCTGCCTAGGCCAGTGACTGCGTCTTTGGAGCAAGTGTTCTGAATAACGGAAGGAATGTTTATATTTTAAAGAGGGCACCCATGTCTGGGCCCCACAGCCTAGAGTGTCCAGCCCTGAGCAGGCTCTTCCTTGGTGTGGCCTCGGCTGGGGCATTGGCTGTCCAATTTTCTGCCTGTTTTTCAAGTCTCATTCTCCAACTTTCCTGGATAGTTTTAATTTTAGAATATGTCCACAAATTCTTTCATACTTCTGCCCTTCAAGAGCTGGGGCTTAATTCCCCTCTCTGTGAGGAGGGGCTAGACTTAGTGACTCACTTCTCATGAAAAGAATATGGCAGAAGTGACCATGTGTGACTTGTGAGACCAGGCCAGAAGAGGTACTGTGGCTCTCTCCTTTCTCTCACTCTAGGATTGCCCATATGGGAGAAGCCACCATTCATGTCATAAGGACTCTCAGGTAGGGTTATGGAGAGTCTTGCATGGGTGAGAATGAAGCCCCATGCCAATAGCCAATGAAGTACTGACGTTTCCTGTCAGCATCCTAGTGAGTGTGCCATTTTGAAAGCAGCTCCTCCAGCCCCACTTCGGAAGATCGAAGCCTCACTGGACATCCTAACTACAACCTAATGAAAGACCCCAAACCAGAACCACCCAGCTAAATTGCTCCCTAATCCTTAATGTGCAGAAATTATGAGATAATGAATGAGTGTTATTTTTAGCCTCTAAGTCTTGGGGTAATTTGTTGCCTACCATAATAGCTAGTATGCTTCTCCTGGATTCTTTTGTTTGTTTGTTTTTTTGAGCCAGGTCTCACTCCCATTGCCCAGCCTGGAGTATAGTGGCACCATTGCAACTCACTGAAGCCTTGACCTCCTGGGCACAAGCGATCCTCCCACCTCAGCCACCCAAATAGCTGAGACTGCAGGCCCCTGCCACCATGCCTGGCTAATTTTTTGTATTTTTAGTAGAGATGGAGTCTGTGTTGCTCAGGCTGGTCTGGAACTCATGGGCTCAAGCAATCCTCTGACCTCGGCCTCTTAAAGTGCTGGGATTACAGACGTGAGCCACTGCACCCAGACTTCTCCTGGATCCTGTGAGTCTTCCTGTGGATTTCTTTTCTGCTTAAGTTAGCTAGGGTCAGGGTCAGTTTCTGTTGTTTACAGACAAGAGTCCTGGCTGGGACCATTCCACATCTTTTGCTCTACTTATGAGGCAGCTGCTAACCTCCATCCCCAGTCCACATCCCCAAGCCCTCAACCCCTGTCTGTTTATCAGGCAGGGTAGTTCAAGTTTCTCATAACCTCACCAGCATATCCAGGTTATGCCCTAGAGCCTTCAACCTTTCTCATCAAACAGGCCATTCAGATATTTTCCTAGTTGTAAAATCATCCTTACCACTACCTGAGAAGGTGAAAACAGCTGGAGACCACTGTGGCATTAAATGACTTGCAGCCTCCTCTCCCCAAGGCCTTCCCATCTGTCTTCCCCTCCTCACCGCTGACTCACTGTTCCCTTGGCAATTTCCCATGGTCTCCTCCTCAGTGAGTTGAATCACCTTGTCTCAGACCCCTGAGAACGTCCTTGCTTGGTCTGTGTGCGGTTTTGAGCACCATTCACTACAATCCTCTTCTGAAAACCCTCTCCTTCCTCAATTTTCTCTGTATTGCACGTGCTACATTTCTGCCCTACCTCTCAGACTCTGCTCTTTCTCAGGTTTTTAGGTTACTTAGTCTTTCACTTCCTAAATAATGTGCCTCCCCTGGTTTCTTCCTCTGTGTTCTCCCTGAGCTGCCTCAGCCTCTCTCAGGCCTCAGCTCTCAGTTAAAGAGAACTCCCTGGATCTCTAATTCTGCAGCTGACTTCTCTCCCAAACACTAGGTTCCATTTCTTTCTGTTCCGTTAACGCTAATTAGCTCTGTCACTCGTGCCTTGGCTCAGCACCAGTGTGTGAGAGCCAGAGCCTGCTCATCTTTTCTCCCGACTTCCCTCCTTCTATTAATGGTGTCATCCCTCCTTCTGGAAACCAGGCACAAATTCCCAGTCATCTTTGACATCCTGTCTCCTTTTACTCCCACATCTCCTTGGTTGTGAAATCCCACCAAGTCCTTCCCTCAGCACCCCCACTTCCCTTCTTAGCCACGCTGGCCTCTCCCCTCTCATACTGACCTCTGCAGATATCTCTCCATAATCTCTGCCCCCTGTCTGCACTCCGCCACCTCATATCCCCACCATACAGGCTAATATTGGAGTACAATACAGGAGTAATATTGCTAAGGAATAATCTCCATCTTACTGCCTCACTTAAAAACCTTCCATTATATTCAACAGTTATTGAGTGTCTATTGCATGTGTATTATTTATGATTCTTTGCATGCAACCTACTGAAACCAACTTGTGCCAGTTTAAACTGAAAAGGGGTGTAGATTACACAGATTCAGGGAGAATGCAGCCAAGCCTCAGAACTGGAAAACTCTCAGGACTCCATGGCGTGCTCTCTCTCCATCCCCTCTCTGCTTTTCTTGGCATCTACTGCCTCCTCCCTGGCTGCAGAGCCCAGCTTTCTCTGATACCCCGTCTCTTGCAGGAGATCCCTGTCTCAAATGAGCCAAGGTTTATTTTCATCCCTGCCACTCAAAAGACCACTCCCAATAGGAATGGAGTCTTTCAGTCCCCGTTTTAAATTTGCAGGTGTGCTGCTCCAGAATCTTCTGCTTGCAAATGATGAAAACCCAACATAACTATCTTGGACAAAACTATAATTTATACACTCTTATAAACAAGAGCAGGGCTGGGACTAGGCCTCCTTGACAGAGAGTGACAGGGACTGGATATCATGCATCTCCCCATTTCTCTTTTCTTTTCTGTTTTTTTTGAGAGAAGGAAATAAAAAAGAGTGAAGGAGAGGAAGAAAGAAGAAGAAAAAGAAGGAGAGAGAATGAAAATGTTGCTTTATTCTAAAAAATGGGTATTAATAATGGCCAATCAATATTTCATTTAAACCTATGAGTAGGTGTGATGTGGTATTGACAAGAATGTATATTTTGTGTATTTAAAGTGGGGAGCTCTATAAATATTTATTAAGTTTACTTGTTCCAGATCTGAGTTCGAGTCCTGGATATCCTTATTAATTTTGTGTCTCATGGAGTCTACGTCTCTATGTATCTGGGTGTTAGGATCGTTAGCTCTTATTGTTGCATTGATCCTTTTACCACTATATCTTTGTTGCTTTAAAATCTATTTTATCAGATGCAAGAATTGCAACTCCTGCTTTTTATTTATTTATTTATTTTTGCTCTCCATTTGGTTGGTAAATCTTTCTCCATCCCTTTGTTTTGAGTCTTTGTGTATCCTTACATGTGAAATGGGTCTGGATGTAAGCATACAGTTGAGTTTTGGCTGTATCTTTTGATTGGGGGATTTAGTCGCTTTAAATTTAGGATTACTGCCATTTGATGTTAACTGGCTGTTGTATCCATTCATTGATGTAAATTCTTCTTTATGTTGATGCTCTTTACTTTTTGGTATATTTTTAGAAAGGCTAATACTGGTTGTTTCTTTCTATGTGTAATGCTTCTTTCAGAAGCTCTTGTAAAGCAGGCCTGGTGGTAATAAAATCTCTGAATACTTGCTTGTTCATAAAAGATTTTATTTTTCCTTCAGTTGTGAAGGTTAGTTTGGCTAGATATGAAATTCTGGGCTGAAAGTTCTGTTCTTTAAGGATGTTGAATATTGGCCCCCACTCTCTTCTGGCTTGTAGAGTTTCTGCTGAGAGATCTGCTGTAAGTCTGATAGGCTTCCCTTTGTGGGTAACCTGACCTTTCTCTCTGGCTGCCCTTAGTATTTTCTCCTTCGTTTCAACCCTGGTGAATCTAACGATTATGTGCCTTGGGGTTGCTCTTCTTGAGGAATATCTTTGTGGTGTTCTCTGTATTACCTGGGGTTGAATATTGTCCTGCTTTGCTAGGTTAGGAAAATTTTCCTGAATAATATCCTGTAGAATATTTTTCAGCTTGGATTCATTCTCTCCGTCACATTCAGGTACACCTATGAAACGTAAATTTGGTCTTTTCACATAGTCCCATATTTCTTGGAGACTTTGCTCATTCCTTTTTATCCTTTTTTCTCTAATCTTGTCTTCCTGTTTTATTTCATTAAGTTGGTCTTTGACCGCTGATATCCTTTCTTCTGCTTGATCAATTCGAGTGTTTAAACCTGTGCATACTTCTCAGAATTCCCCTATTGTATTCTTCAGTTCCATTAATTCACTTATATTCCTCTCTAAATTGTCTATTCTCATTAGGATTTCGTCAAACCTTTTTTCAAAGTTCTTAGTTTCTTTACATTGGGCTACAACATGTTCTTTTAACTCACAGAAGTTTCTTATTATCCATCTTTGGAAGCCTAATTCTGTTAATGGGATGCGCTCATTCTCCATCAAGCCTTGTTCCCTTGTTGATGAGGAACTGTGATCCTCTTTAGAGGGAGAGGCATTCTGATTTTGAGTATTCTCAGCCTTTTTACGCTGGTTTCTTCCCATCATTGTAAATTTATCCACCTGTCATCTTTATAATTACTTTCAAATTAGGTCTCTGAGTGGAAGTCCAAGTTGTTAATTCCCAGGGCCGAAATATGAGCAACCCACTGCGCCGGCCAAAACAGTGGTGTTAAGACTGATGGTGCTTTTCTGCCCAGGAATCTCCAGTCTGGTTTCCTTCTTGAGTCCGTAATAGGCAACTCTGCCTTCTCAGAGCTCCAAACGTCGGTCAGAAGGGGAACCAGTCCCGTTTACTCTGCACCAAGAGCTGCCACGCCGAGGTGCCGGCAAAACTGCTGCGCCAGCCACAAGAGTCGCGCTGACGACCCGTGGGACTCCTCCACTGGGAATCTTCTGCCCCGTGAGTGACAAAAATTTGTCTGAAAGTGTGGCGTCCTCTCATTCTCTGCGCTTTCACTGGGAGCTGCAATCCCGAGATGTTAGCGATCAGCCATCTTGGATCATTCTTCCATTTCTCTTTTCTGACTGTGAGCATCCCTTCTTTGATACAGACCTGCCCTTTACACATGTTGAAGGCCAGGGTCATGACCCCTTGATGACAACTGATAAATCTTACCACCTAAGGAGCTTGACTCTTCTTTCCCAAATTCCAATTTTTAAAAATGACCCTTAGAACTCTACTTGATCCTGCTTAGGACATGTTCCTACCCCTCATAGACTCTGAAGTCAGACTGCCTGGGTTTAAATCCTGGTTCTGTTACTGATTAGCTCTGTGACTCTTGGCACTTAAACCTCTCTATATCTCAGTGTTCTCATCTGTTAAGTAGGGATAGCAATAGGACCCATCTCATAGATTGTTATAAAGATTAAATTTAGACTGCTTAGAATAGTATCCAGCACTAAGTCAGGCTTTGTATGGGTTAGTTATGATGATAATGATGTTGATGATGATGGCAATGATGAGTGGTGGTGATGATGATGATGATGATGATGATGACAATGACAATGACCATGGGGGAAGAGGAGAGGAGCAACTTCTTGAACCACATGCTTGAGGGGAGAAGAGAAGCTCACCAAAAGGGGGGTGTATTAGTGTCCTAGGACTACTGTAAAAAGTGCCACAAACTGGGTGGCTGAGAACAGACATTTAGTGTCTCAGTTCTGGAGGCCAGAAGTCTGAAATCAAGGTATCAGCAGCATTGGCTCCTTCTGGAGACTGTGAGGAAACATCTTTTCCCTGCCTTTCTCCTAGTGTCTGGTAGCCTCAGGGTTCTTTGGTTTGTAGATGGTGTTTCCCCTGTCTCTTCTTATCATCTTCTCTTTGTACAAGTCTGTGTCTAGATTTCCCCTTTTAATAAAGGACACTGGTCATGTTGGATTAGGGCCCACCCTAATGACCTCATCTTAACTGAATCATCATTTCCAGAGACTCCATTTCCAAATAAGGTCACAGTCATGTGCCAGGATGAGGACTTCAACATTATCTGGTGGAAGGGGAACACAGTTCAACCCACAATGAGGGGGATGGGGCAATGCTGGCCAGACTGGTAGCAGCTGTTCCCTCTGCTTATGATTCCCAGGACTGAATATACTGATCAGATCAGGTTGGATCAGTTGCTCAGCCCTAGCCCTATCAACAATAGCTTGGGAAGTGGGGTTGAAGGTGCATTGCACAAATTGCTGGGGACAGTGGTATGTCTCAGAGAAAGCACTGGGATGTTCACCCGCTGGACAATCATCTCAGGTGCTGTCCTCTCCAATGTGCAAAGTGCCCATCACTCAGTGGGAGGTACCTGGAGATGAGCAAGAAGACGTTTATGCAGCAGTGATGGACAAAGTCTCCTATGGAAGAATGAACAACGGAGCAGGTGCCACAGAATAAGTGCTCCAGTGGAAACACAAAGCACTATGGGAGCACGAGAGAGCGTGAAGTTCCACATTGGTTGGTAAGGGCTGGAAAGGGCCTTTTGGAGGAATGGCAGTTGAGATTTTCTTAGAGACAAGGGGAGAATTTGGTGGGTAATGAAGATGTAGGGATGGTGGGGGAAGAGTGTGATCCTGTGGTCAGAGAATGGTGAGGAAGTAATCTAAGGTGTCAGGGTAGTCAGATGAAAAATGGAAAGTGATTGCAAACATTCACTAAGAGCTAACTGGGTGCCTGACATTATTTTATACGTTTGACGTGCATAATTTCTGTTCCTTTCACCGTGACCTCTCCCTTGGTACCTTACCGTCACTCCTGTTCAACAGATGAGGTTCAGGGACCTGCCCAAGGTTACATGGCCAGAAGATAGTTGAGCCCAGGGTCTCTCTACTCAGTTACTACTTCTGCCCCCTCTCCTATGAAAGGTTAGCTTGGAAAGCTGAGTAGGCACAGAATGTGGCTGGCTTTGCCAAGGAGTGTGGAATTTGTTTTACAGGTAACAAGAAGCCACTGAGGAATTGCAGGCAGAGGAGGACCTGATTGGGCCTTTATTTCAGGATGACAGCTTGGTGCCAGTGTGGAGGATGCTGTGAAGCAGGGAGAGATTCCAAGGGAGTGAACACCTGTCTTCTACCCCACTGGGAGGCAAAAGCATTAACCAGTCATCCTTCTATATAAGACAGCACCAGGAGCCTCGGGGACCATTTGCTCAGTCGTTCTTTTTAATTTAATTTTTATTGAAGCATAACCTACATACAAAAAAGTGCACAAATTGTAAGTGTGGCTTGATAGATTTTTCATCAGATGAACACTCCTCGCAGTTTCGTTCTTTACATTAGCAAACCCAAATAATTCCCTAGCAAATGTAGCTCTGAACTCACCACCCTGACTACCCCATCCTTCTCTGGGAAACCTCTTACTGATTAATATGGCTGAATGCTTTCTGCCGGAGAAACACAGTGTCCTTCCAACGTGGCACGGGCAGTAGCACTGACTCTGAGTCACACTGTCTAGACTCCAGGCTTCCCCTGACTCACGGTACAGCCTGAGACCACACAGTTCTTTCACCTCTGCAGGGCTTAGTGTCTGCATCTGTAAAATGGAGGTAGTAAGGGTTAGTTTCTATTTCACAAGCTTCATAAAAATTAGCTGCAGGCTAATTTGGGAGGCCAAGGTGGGTGGCTTGGGATCATGCCTGTAATCCTAGCAGTTTGGGAGGCTGAGGTGGGCAGCTTTGGATTATTTAGCCCAGGAGTTTGAGACCAGCCTGGGAAATATGGCGAAATTCCATCTCTATGAAAAATACAAAAAATTAGCCAGCCATGGTAGCAAGTGCTTGCAGTCCAGCTGCTCAAGAGGCTGAGGTAGGAGGATCACTTGACTCTGGGAAGTTAAGGCTGCAGTGATCTGTGATTGTGCCACTGTACTCCTGCCTGGGTGACAAAGTGAGACCCTCTCTCAAAAAAGAAAAAAGCATTATAAATGTAAAATGTATAGAAATGTATAAAATTAATAAAACATAATATATTATGTTATAATATATTATATATAATTTATATTATTGGTACCACGAATTAATTAAATAAACGGAATAATTATTGGCCATTAGCATCTTTGATGGTGTCCATTCCATTTACTTTATACATTTACAGAGATGTTTCTATGCCACCTGGAGGCACAGTGCTGTGGGGGACACAGAGGCAAGGAAGATGCACCCTCCTACCCCCGCCCAACAAGCACTGGAGATTTAGTGGAGAGCAGTGGAGAGGTGTGCAGTGTGGACGCCAGGTACACAAATGACCTTTAAAAGATTATCTCGGCCTCAGCCACTGTGGTGTTTTATGGGAACTTTTCTGATGGAACTTGAGCTATTTACTATCTCTGCTTTGCTCTGAAGAATTCTGCCTGGGGACAAGGGGGAATTGAGGCCCAGACTCAGTAGTGATGGTTGGTTAACCCTTTATGCCCCAGAGTTGGTGATTAGGGTTGGACTGGGAGCCAACTTCAGCTGCTAAGCTTGGTGCTGCATGTTGCATTTTCAGTGATTACTGATTGTATTTTCTCCTCTTCCCTCACACACTTCCAGCCAGGTCACTCTCAGACTGCCTCTCCCCTTCATTCAGCTCACATCCTGGGAGACAGGAAACTTTGGGCCCCAGGGGAGGGGCCTGCTTGCTAAGTGACCCATTATCACCACTGGCCTCCTGGAAGGGCAGTTGCCCACCTCTGCTTCTCCCCTTCTCCTATGGGAGCAGGCTCCCTGGGGTACTATTCCATGCCTTCCAATCTCCAGTGTGAGTGGCTGAGGGCAGGAAAAGCCATGGCGAGTGGAAATCAGCATTTTGTGGGATATCCGAATCCTGTTTCTCTGGGATTCATTTCTGTAGTATGGAATCACAGAAAGGATGCTGAAGTCAGAAGGTTAGACGTTGAAAGCCTTGAACTCGAGTCTACATGTGATCAGTTCTGATTATCTTGCTATGTCTTTGCTTCCTGGAGCTTCAGTTTCTTTGCCTATAAAATGAGAATAATACTGACCCAACTCATCTCAAAAGAGTGATTGTGCCTTTAGAACTGTAATGTGCTAGGAGCAATGTATGAGGTCATTATTCTCACTATTGTCTTTCTTCCTGGCCCCCTGTTATTGGAAAACCATATAATAGTCTTTTAAAAATAAAATTACAAAAGTAATACACGTTTGAGACATACAATATAAGTAGCAGAAAAGGGCTCAAGGTGAACAGTTCAGATCCCCTTCACGCTCCCCACTCCCACACCTCCAAAACCATCCTTCTAAGATCGCTACTCCTGTTCATTTCTTATGTATCTTTTCCGACACCTTCTGTGTGTAAACAAGTGAATATGTGTGTAATAGGGTTCTTTTTACCTAAATCAGATTATATTGTACATCTCTTCTGCACCTGGCTTTTTTTTATATTCAGAATTTTGAAGAGCTTTTCACTTTAGCACAAATAAACTCTTTTTAGTGGCTACATGATGCTCCAGTAGTGAATGTACTACCATGTGTTTACCAAGCTCTAAAGTTGAACATTTGGAATTCCTATTTTTCCTTTTTTTTTTTATTTGAGACAGGGCCTCACTCTGTTACCCAGTCTGCAGTACAGTGACGTAATCATAGCTCATTGTAACCTTGAACTCCTGGCTCAGGCAATCCTCCCACCTCAGCCTCCCAAGTAGGTAGGACTGTAGGCACATACCACCATGCCTAGCTAACTAAAAAAAAAAAAAAATTGTAGAAACGAAGGTCTCACTATGTTGCCCAGAATGTCAAACTCCTGGGCTCAAGCAATCCTCCCATCTCGACTTCTCAAAGTACTGAGATGACAAGCCTGAGCCACCACACCTGGCCTCCCATCCTTTTAAGGTCCCTTAGGCGACAGTTTGGAAGCTCCACAGTTGTCCCTGACTTTGTGCTCTTCCTCATTTCATCCTCTTAGGAGTCCTTGGGGCCCGTGGGAGCTGGATGTAGCAGGCATTTCCGGCCTCAGGATGGGAGGAGCTGTGAGAGACTTGTTGGCACCCATGGGCTAAGGTCTCCGGGGGCACAGGAAACAGAGGAAGAAACACCGGGGCTAAGGACATCACTCACTGTCTCTGTTGACCTCCGCAGTCTCCCGGACTGCCTCCCAACCCATGTAGGGATGCTTGACCAGGTCTTGAAATAGAATCATCTGGAAAACTTCTGCCATCTCAGAGCGAGACCATGCCCCAGGCCAATTAAACTAGAATCTCTAGGGTCTAGCCCTGGATAGCAGCAGTTTGAAATATTTCAGGTGATTCTGTTGCACAGTCACAAGAGCTACAGTGCCTGAGCCTGGAAATGAGAACATCACGGCAGGCCGGAGGGCCTTTGCTTTCTTCCTTTTTCAACTATGAGAGCGAGATGCTTATCCTACAGCACAAGCACCAGAATGCATTTAACCATCATGCGTCCACGATGTGTACATGAAGTGGTTCTTATTTTATTCCTTGACAAGTTTTTATTTGGTTGCTCTTTTGACTCTTATTCAAAATTGTTTATGTAAATTAGTAAGAAGCTTTTAGCAGACAATTTGGCAACATGTATCAAGAGAATAAAACTGTTCAGAATCATTGGCCTATTTATTCCACTTTTGGAAGCTATCCTACAGAAATAACATGAATATAGGGGGAAGCTATATGCGTTAGATGTTCATTGCAGCATTATTTATGCTAACGAAAAGCTGGCAAAACCTAAATGTCCAATGATACAGGAATGTATAAGTGAACTGTGGTACATCTATTTGGTAGAATATTAAGTAATCGTTAAAATTATGGTTATGAAGCCAAAGTAATAACATGGAAAATGCTTATGCCATAAAGTTAAATAAAAACGTAGAACACAAAATTGTGCAGATATGCTATAATCACAACTACATGCAGAGGAAACGAAATATAAAGGAAGTAGAAAGTAAAAAACAAAATGCTAACATAGATTGTGTTAGAATGATAAGACTAATTCTTTTTCCTACTTTCCAGATTTTTATAACATGATTACATTATTGCTTAGCTGGAAACAAACCATAAAAACAAAAAATGTCTGCCTTGTGCATTTTTTCATATGTCTGTCAGACTGGAGACACCCTAATGTTAAGATCCCTACAAACAATGTTAAGGCCACCATGCCACACGTAGCACCTGAGGCTGCCTGCAAAAGGCCTGACAACAATAGATCAGAAGTCAGAGGGTCTGGCTTTTAACCCCAGCTTCAGCTTCACAGTGTGACCTTGAGCAAGTTTTTCCTTCTTTCTGAACCTCAGTTTCCTAATCTGTGAAACAATAGATTGGACCAGGAGGGTCCTCAAGAACCTGCCGGCTCTGAAATGTGATGATCATGACATGGATGATGATGAATATACTATTGAATCCCAGTTGCGTTCAGATCCATCGAATGGGAGACTAAGAGGCAGAAAAGTATCTCCCCTAAAACGTGTGCAGGCAGGTTGCTCCTGCTTCTTATTTCTACGTTCAGAATTGCTAGCCTCCACCCTTTAAATCCTGAAAAGCACAACTGAATAAATATAAGGCAAATCATGCCCCCTGTTAAATAGTTGGTCATTTCTCTCCACATCACTTGCATGCAGTCCTGATGACTTGTAAGTATAAGTGCCTCTGAAATACGCAGGAAAGTGTTTGGAGCCAATCAGGAAACCCTGCTCCGCCCCCACCCCTGATTTCTCATCTTGATAAAGTAATTTTCCTCAACAGGCAGAGGGTGGGGAGTCATAAATCAGTAACAACACAGCTCCTTGGTGTCTGTGCTGCCCTCCGCTTGAGAGAGATGCCTCTCTTAGATGATGTGGATGCACCAGCCTGGGGCTAGAGAATAACAGGGAGAAAGGTCTAGGGTTGTTAAAAGCAGAATCATTCTGGTGGGAAGGAAAATTGAAACCCCAGGATTTAAAGAGAGCAATAAAGGTGATGATGGGAACCGTGAGGCTCACAGATACACAGTGCCGCCTCCCTCATCTGGCAGGGGGAAGGAGCTGCTGGGTTGGAGTCTTTTCCACAGACTGAAGTTTAACTGTCGAAGTGCCAGTGTTGACCTTTAACCCCATTAAGATGCTTCTAGATCTTCTTTTTTAGACGGAGTTTCACTCTTGTTGCCCAGGCTGGAATGCAATGGTACAATCTCGGCTCATTGTACCCTCTGCCTCCTGGGTTCAAGTAATTCTCCTACCTCAGCCTCCCGAGTAGCTGGGATTACAGGCATGTGCCACCACACCTTGCTTATTTTGGTTTCTTCATGTTGGTCAGACTGGTCTTGAACGACTGACCTCAGGTGATCCACCAGCCTTAGCCTCCCAAAGTGCTGGGATTACAGGCGTGAGCCACTGTGCCTGGCCTCAATCTTCTTAAATGTCTGTGTAAGACATAAGCTAGCCTTTTTCTAATAATGCAAGGGAACGGAATCAAGAGTTATATTATCATATATCTATTTGGGTAATTATTTGGGGGAATGCCTGTATTCCCCATGGGACCATACGTTCTATGAGGATGAGGACTGAGCATCCCAGTTCTCAGGATGTGCCTGGCACAGACATATTTGTTGAATGAGGCACTCAAGACCTATTTGTTGAATGTGTGAGTGCGTGAGAACCCCCGGACTCTAATAAGCTGTATTCTGAAAAACTCCCGGCACTGTATATGTTAGAAAATGGCTCTTGCTAAGCTAAGCAAAACTGGAGATGTATCCGAGGGCTTTATGGGGTCTATAAAGGAGCTGTTGTACTGAGAATTGACTAGGAAACAGCTGGAGCCCTGCGGAGTCCCAGAAAGAACTCCTTCTTCTCACCCCTGCTTGTCTCTGGACTCCTCCTTCAGTTTCTCTCTCATTGGGGCTCATCTTTTTCTGCTCTGCAGAACAGGGATGTCTTCATCTTTTACTGGTCCTCTGTTTCCAGGAGCGAGATTGGCCTTTCTTCATTTTTTCAGTTCCTCAACTTCCCAGGATAGGACTGTAGTTGGCCTGGTTTGGTTGGTGTGAACCGATCAAGTGTGGCCAAGGAGTCAGGGGTCTTGGTATCGATAGGATGACTGCTGTGGAAACCGTGTAGGTGTGGAATGGGTGTGGGAGTCCCCAGACAAAGGGGCATGGATCCACAAAACAGTAGGCACTCGCTACATTCACACCATCTCCTTTAGCTTTTTGTTTTGTTTTGTTTTGTTTTCAATAATCTTGTAAGGCAGGTGGGTCTGTTATCTGCACAAGTAGAAAAACTAAGGTCAAAAAAAGGATAAGATATTTGGCTGAGGTCACACACCTAATGATTGGTGGATACTAGACACAGGAGTGGCAGGAGAGAGGTGGCATCAAAGCCCGGGCTGTCCCTCTGTGCTCTGCAGGCTCTTGGGTCAGCCTCCCAAACACTTCTTTGTACTGTGGTAATTGCAGCAGGCAGGATAGCCCAGAGGGCTGAGTGATCACTGACCCCAGAGAACGCCCTGCAAATTGCTCCCTTGGAAAAGCCCCAAAGTCAGCTTGCTTTTTGGCTATTTGTTTGTTTCTCTTAAAGCTGGGTGAAGGTTAAGTCCTGGCTGCTCTTGAGAGCCTTGTACTGCAGGTTGCCTTTTTGCAAAATTAATTAGCAAATCAAAAGACAGAGCTGCCTCCTCAGTGATTGCTTGGCCCTCCAGAATAGCTTTTTCTTCCTCACTGTGGGCCTTTAACTTTTCCACAGCCATAGAAGCTGGGTCCGTTATAGCTGCATCTCTACCCCCAGGAATAGACTCACGCACTGAGCCTGATACATTTAGGAGGTTTTATGTTTGGGTGTGAGGGAAGATTACCCTTTGCCACTGCTGAGGAGCTGTGCAGAAGTCTTTTGACCCCAGCTTATCCCTTCACTGACATCATCATCTTTCTCATCACCAGGTGACAGTTTTCTCCAGATATGCCACTGGCCATGATTTCCCCAAGTTCTTTCAATGTTTGACCTTCGACAACCTCTTAAGCACAAGCAATAGGGCAGCCATATCTTTAATATTGTCACAAGGCTAGAAAAAAGTCTTCCATAGTGTCTACATGATAGAGCAGCTTGCTCATCACATTTGTTTTGTAATAATACTTCACATTCTGAATATCCCCCTTCTCCATAGGTGAGATCAGGGAAGTAACATGAAGAAGATGAAGGGGAGGAGGAAGGGCAGGAAGACAGTGAAAATACTGTCAGATCATGACCTTGGGGAGCATTTTATAATTCCTAAAAATAAGATAGCTTGGCTTACCTGGGGAGTTCTGTTGTTCTCAAACAATCATTCATGAAAAGTTCAAATGGACGATAGAACCAGGTAGGAAAAATGTATTTGTCTGAGAGCAACTGGTGTCATATATTTGAAAGATTCATTCAGTTAAATTTCTAAAAAAGATTGTAAACTCCTGGTGGGAAAGAGCTTTCAAATAACAGAAAACAAGTTAAACCGTATGAAATGATGAAGAGATTTACTATGAGTTCATGTAACAAGGACAGTTTTTTGGATTGGTCAATTTATTGGCTTAACAGCAGCATCAAAAACCCCAGCTCTGTGCATCTCTACTTTCCGCCATTCTCAGTACAGTTGCTAGCTTTCCTCACAGTCATAAGATAGCTATGCTATCTCCAGGCATCACATCCTCACACATCTCCGTTCAGAAGCAGAAAAGAGACAGTCTTTTCTTTGTGCCTTTTTTATTTTATTTTATTGAGATGGAATCTCACTCTGTAGCCCAGGCTGGAGTGCAATGGCACAATCTCAGCTAACTGCAACCTCGGCCTCTCGAGTTCAAGCAATTCTCCTGCCTCAGCCTCCTGAGTAGCTGGGACTATGGGCATGTGTCACCATGCCTGGCTAATTTTTGTATTTGTAGTAGAGATGGGGTTTCATCATGTTGGCCACGCTGGTCTTGAACTCCTGACCTCGTGATCTGCCCACCTCAGCCTCAGAAAGATTACAGGCATGAGCTACCATGCTGGGCCCCGTGACTTTATTTACCACTAAGAAACCTCTCTTCGGACAATCTACCCAGTACACTAACTTGATATAATCTAATTATGTGCCTCATTTTGAAATGCCAAGGCAGCCCTTCAGAAAATACATGACTCCATCAATCACCCTTGCTTGTTCAAATCCATTTGCTTTTTCAATTAGCACTGGGCCAGAGAAAGGATGGCTATATGATATTTGAAAGAAAAATTTCATCTGTATATACCTATATGTGTGACTGTCTTCCTCTCTATCTATGTGCTCCCATCTGTCTACCTGCCACCTTTTATAGCTGTCTACAGTCCACAAAAGCTGAGATGTGCTCTTTGACATTTTCATTAGAGGAACTTGGGAATCCCTCTCATAGGATGACACTTGTAATATTGCAAGCTCTTTTTTGCTGCATTTCCCCTCCAGTTTGACACTTAAGAGCTTTCCATTGCATGCAGCAGAAATCAATCATGGTTAATTTATAAGGAAAAATAATTTATTTGGAGCACACAGGGTAGTCCATAGAATCAAGGGAAGATCCAGGGATCTGGGTACAGGAACTAATCACGTTTAGTTGCTGGGAGAATTCACTCCTGCATGCCAATCCTGCCCTCAGATTCGAGAGTCTTGAGGGAAAGTCCAATTGGCTGCTCTTGGCTACAGGCCCTTCTCTTAGCCAGAGACAGCTGGGGCACTTTTATTAAAGTGCCTATCAAAACTGCAAAACTGGGGGAGGAGGCTTTCTTCATCAGGAAATCAGCGTTTGGTGGCTGGATGCTGGGCAGGCAAATATAGACACTCAAAGCGGCAATGAGCACTGCCCGAAAACAACACACAACCAGCACATGGAACAAATGGGATTCATAGAATGCAACAATAAAGTAACTTTTCTTGTTTTGCTTCCCATGTCTTTTAAATCTGCTTGGTGGAGGAAACCTCCACCCTCTGACTGTAAACTCTACCCTGACTGTAAACTCTACTTACTTCTTGATAGTAAAACAGCCCCTGATCACTTTAAGATGCAAACACAATTTGGAATTCAGTAACAGAATGTTAATTTTATTAGCACTTTCTTCAAGACTCATCCCCCATTGCCTACCTGGGATCAGGTGTCAGTTGCATGCAGGCTGTCTGCCTTTGGCCAGGGGAGTGGTCAGCTTTTCTTTCCCTCTCATCTCTCCTGTCACAGCCAGGGTGGAAGGCATGGGAACAAGTACAAGAAAGTTTGTATTTAACGAGCACTGTCATCAAATGTCCTTGTGCTCTCATACCAGAGCAGAGCTTTAAAGCTGACTCTTTGTCTCTGGGCACCTTCATGGGTCTTTTTGAGACTCCTCTGCTGTGTCTTTTTGACCACAACACTTTTGCTCTCAGCTTCCCAAGTAGCACACCTGCCCACCTCTCTTACCTTCTAGGTTTCATGAAGCAGACAACAGACACTAGTCTCCTGTGCTCCAGGCCTCTGACAGC